AAAGAGGAAGATCAATTATGAGGCAAGAGGTGATGGGGAGGAGAAGTGGTCAGAATCAGGAGGTATTTAAAAGTAGAGCCATTTGGATCTGCTAATCCATACAATGGGAGGAAAGAGGGGGAAAAAAGGAATCCAGGATAAAATTACCTACCTGAGTAATGTTCTGAAAAATTGACAGTTGTTCCATTTTATCATTACCTTTTTCCCTATTTCCTGAATAATATGTCTTTGCTCAGGTTTGTACTTAACTGTCTATTCTTTCTTGAAATAATAGTTTCCACTTCTGCCACTAGTTGTGAGGACATGCAAAGAGACATGCAAATCATCAGCAGAGTCCCCCATCCTCCTCCCTCAAAAAATGTTTCAGGAATTCCAGGCCAAGGGATCAGGGTTTGACAGCCCCAGTGAAAGCAAATGATAACAGCAACAGCACGAATGTGGTATGTTCTATGAGAGAAGTGGGACGATGGCAGCCATGGCTGCAGTGGCTCTCTGCTCTCCACACTGGGAGGCAGCCATCTGCACTGGGCACTTCACTAAGCAAAGTGGAGGCTTCTTGAGGGCAGTGGATTAGCTCATTATGCAGCCAGCACCACTTCTCTTGGCTTCCTGCTCCATACTTCAAAACCACTCCGTAAAAATGACTCTAATTGAATTGCCTAGAGAGAAAGAAATAACTCAGTTTGCAAAATAGATTGAGCCTGGAGGTATTCCTCAGCAAGGCTTTAAAACTGCCACTGAAAACAAGATTATATTTTATTCCAATTACACTGAAATGAGTTCTGCTGTATTTATATGTTGGAAATACTAAGAACAGTTAAATTCAGCGAGTGACAACATTTTTCACAGCCTAGGGCACTCTGTAAGGATGCTGGGGGCAGATAGAAGGAGAAGGTGAGTGAGATGGAAGGGGCAGGAGAAAGGCTAAACCCAAACTCAAAAATGAATTTGTACATTTGCTTAGGGTTTCTGTTGAGGTAAGAAATACAGCCATCAAACCGCTTAAAGCTATGATTTCTAGCTCAAGGATGAGAATATTTTGAAGGATTTGCACAAATTAAGAAACTTTGTGTAATTTTTAGTTGCTTTTGAATCTCACCAAGGTTAACCAAACTATCTTAATAAAAGGTACTTTGTTTGCCATGACTTCTGTTTAATGAGGAGCATCTGTATGCTTCACTGGCTAAATCTAAATTCTAGCAACTTGTTTACTTAAAGCAATTCATAATAATGGAACTTAATGATGCATACAGCACAGATAAAGTAATTCAGTTCTACAAATACTTTTTTAGAATGCTGTGTCCTCTACCTGGAATGTTCTCCATAATAAAAGACCGCAAAGATTGGAAACAAAGCTTGAGATTATTTAGTAAAACCTTCCATTCGTAAATGAGGAAACTGAGACCCAGATCTGTTCAAGGACATTTCCCAGCAGTTAACAAAATGAGAACACAGCTTTCAATTCCCAATTCTTTATTCTGTCCTCTCTCCATCCTTTAAAACTCAGTACAAACCCAACCTTCTTCATGAAGCCTTCCCTGACCCCCAATGATTACTCACTTTTATGAACCCCTCCTCGTGGTCCATATTGTACCATTTAGCATTTGTTTAAAACTTCTTCACTGTCATTACCAATATTATGCTTTAGTTTTGTATCTCTAAGGAGATTATTATTTCTTAAGGACAAAAATTCATGTTTTGATGATTCTATTGACTGTCCCACGGCAGCTAGAGAAATTATATGTTCTAGACCTCAGCTTCTAATGGACTTCTCCCTTCTTTAATGANGTTTCTGTTGAGGTAAGAAATACAGCCATCAAACCGCTTAAAGCTATGATTTCTAGCTCAATGATGAGAATATTTTGAAGGATTTGCACAAATTAAGAAACTTTGTGTAATTTTTAGTTGCTTTTGAATCTCACCAAGGTTAACCAAACTATCTTCATAAAAGGTTTGCCATGACTTCTGTTTAATGAGGAGCATCTGTATGCTTCACTGGCTAAATCTAAATTCTAGCAACTTGTTTACTTAAAGCAATTCATAATAATGGAACTTAATGATGCATACAGCACAGATAAAGTAATTCAGTTCTACAAATACTTTTTTAGAATGCTGTGTCCTCTACCTGGAATGTTCTCCATAATAAAAGACCACAAAGATTGGAAACAAAGCTTGAGATTATTTAGTAAAAACCTTCCATTCGTAAATGAGGAAACTGAGACCCAGATCTGTCCAAGGACATTTCCCAGCAGTTAACAAAATGAGAACACAGCTTTCAATTCCCAATCCTTTATTCTGTCCTCTCTCCATCCTTTAAAACTCAGTACAAACCCAACCTTCTTCATGAAGCCTTCCCTGACCCCCAATGATTACTCACTTTTATGAACCCCTCCTCGTGGTCCATATTGTACCATTTAGCATTTGTTTAAAACTTCTTCACTGTCATTACCAATATTATGCTTTAGTTTTGTATCTCTAAGGAGATTATTATCTCTTAAGGACAAAAATTCATGTTTTGATGATTCTATTGACTGTCCCACGGTAGCTAGAGAAATTATATGTTCTAGACCTCAGCTTCTAATGGACTTCTCCCTTCTTTAATGAATTCAGCATTTAGCTCCTTGTCACTTCAACCCTACTGTCCTTAGTAAAATAAACTTTCATATGCATGACTTTTCAACCACAGAATTAGACTACATAGGATGAAAATATATATATATATAAAATAGGCCATAGACTGTGTCCAGCTCATCATCTGCAATGACCCAGCCTCAAGCCTCAAGCAAACATTAGCACATCCACATGTTAGATGTCCCCATCACTCAGAAATGATCTACCTCCCGGATCTCCATGTGTCAAATTCTCATCTCGGAAGGCAGCCTCTATTCTTCCACATCTTCTTCTTCCTCACCCACTCCCACAAAATCTGCCCTTCTCAACCCTCCTCTCTCCTTGGCAAAGGCCAAGGGCTATGATGTGGTCCTTTCTGAGTAGAAATTGAGTGAGCTTTGAATCAGATATACATAGGTTCTAATCTCGTGTCTGGCACTTACTAGCTGAGTAAATTTAAGGCAGTAATATTAGTCCATTTTGTGTTGCTTATAACAAAATACACAGAACTGGGTAATTATAAAGAAAAACGAAATTTATTGCTTACAGTTTCTGAGGCTGGGAAGTCCAAAGTCCATCTAATGGTGGTGACAGTGACCCAGGGATCTCACATTGCAAGATATTGGAATCAGAGAGAGCAGAGAGAACAAGAAAGACAATCTCTCTTCTTTTAAAGCCCTCAGAGCCACACCCCTGACCACCATTTTTTATTCATTCACTACTGCATGGTCGTACAATCCAATCACCTCTTCAAGACTCCACCTTTCAGTTACTGTAATAGGACTTCCCACCCTCTTCACAGTCACAGTGACAGCTAAGATTCTAATACATAAACTTGGGGGACACAATTCAAGCTTCAGTGAGTTTGGGGGGGACATAATTCAATCCACTACAGGCAGTTTGTTAACCATTCTAAATCTTAGTTGCCTTATACATGAAATGGAGATGGAATGGGCTACCTTTTAAAATAGGGCTGTAATAAGTATTAAACAAGTATTACATATGAAGCATCTACTATTACGGTAGGCACAGGGTGGACACCCAATAAATCTTAGGTTTTTTGCCTGTACTGTGGGGACCACTATCACGTGCCATCTTGTCCCTTTCTTTCTTTCTCTCTTGTTTGTCTTTGCCTCCTCCTAAGTTTTTCTCTATTTCATTCTTCTTCGCCAGGGTCTTTTGCCTCCCTACCTACACTCTGTGCTTCCAACAAGTGTTTACAGAGATTAATCTCATTTGAAAACATTAATAGAACACTTACTGTAAGTCAGGCACTGTGCTATTAACACTAGCTGCAAACACGGCTGCTTGCACTGCCCTTAGAAGTACGTGAAACTCATTTGCATGTCTGAGCCACATCCCTTCCAGGTAAATCAGTTTGTAAAGTATATTAGCTTGGAGTTAAACAAGGTGTCTTTGTAGACCAAAATGTGCTCACATTTTCTGTGGTTCAGAATATGTGGATGTGGGTATAGCATAAGGAATAGCCAGGAGACCTCTGTGGAGTGGCAGGAAGCAACAGTGAACAATAGTGCAGGAACAAAAGTCAAACTCTAGCCAGGCCTCATCTCTTTTGACCCATTGATCCCATTTCTAGAAATTTAGCCTGAGAAAATAATTATAGCTATGCACAAAGATTTAACTGAAAGATGTTCCTTGCACACTTGTTCATAATACTACAAGAGTACAACTAACCTTAACACCTAACAGTAGGTGTTAGGTGTTAAGGTTAAATAAACCATTACCATTCGGTTATGGTTTATCCATGTAAGCTATTAATAAATGATGTCACAGAGGAATATTTATTATCATGGAAAGATGTCCAGGCTATAGTGTTAACTGGCAAAAGCAGGTTACAAAGCAAAATATACAGATGAACCTGTATTTGTTAGTACAAGGACACTTCAAAAACTTCATGGAAAGATTGGTATTATCTTTTAATTCTATTTTTCCACGAACTTTTTCAAGTACCCTCACATATACTCAGATAAAGAGAAAAAAGACTGGAAAGCTAGCAAGATGTTCATGACTGGCTCTGAAGGAGAGATTATGAATTTTTAATTTTTATTTTTTGTTTTGAGCTTCCCATGTTTCCATGTACCACTTTCATAACAAGAAGAAAATCCCCGCCTCCCCCGCCCCACTAGTGTTTTGTGAGTGGAGACAGGTGACAGTTAGATAAATAGCTAGACAGCTAGAGGAAGGGGTGGGTGCCTGATTGATTGACCGATCGATCAGTCATTTCCACGTCCACCAGGCACGGACGAGTACAGCCAGATGTCTACCCAGACAGTGTTTAATGAGCCCCAGGCAGTGTCATCAGGTAACAGGTTAACAAAACAAGCGACTGTCGCGGCAGTGGTGTCTGAGTCTGTCCTTTCCGCCGTCAGGTCGACGCCCACGGCAACATCCTCCTCAGCACGCTGGAAATCAGGAACGAGACCAGCGGCTCGGAAGTGCTCACGAGCGTGAGCGACCCCAAGGCCACCATGTACTCGTACGACAGCGCCAGCATCCAGTACCGCAAGCCGCTGAGCAGCCGCGAGGCGTACGGGCGCGCCCTGGACCGGCACGGGGTGCCCGGCAAGGGCCGCATCCGCAGGCGCGCCTCCCAGCTCAAAGTCAAAATCCCCGACCTGACGGACGTCAACTCCATAGACAAGTGGTCCCGAATGTTTTTCCCCATCACCTTTTCTCTTTTTAACGTCGTTTATTGGCTTTACTATGTACACTAAGGTCTGTCCTCGCGGCTCGATTTCGACTACTTTCCTCTTGTTTTTTAACCCCACAGGTCCCCAACAGCGAAACTGCTGTGTTTTTTGAGGTTAAGAGATTCAGCCATGCAATTGGTTTTAGGTCTTGCATATCAATTTTATTACTGCACCATGTTTACTTCAAAAGAAAAAGAAAAAAAAAAAACTATTTTTTTCCAGTTTACTGTGGTCCAGGTTATCAGCTCTTTAAGAGCTCTATCAATTGCCATGTTTACAAACAAATAAAACACAGAGAAGTTAGATATACAGTTCTTTAGTAGTATTTTCCTAGTTGCCCTGGATTTTATTGATTTATTTTTTAAATGAAAATGAAAAGAGGACCTCACTGTCCGCCTGCACAGCTTCCTGGTAAACTGTAACAATCTCATGCTGCCAAAAAAAATATATAAAACACCATAATTTCCAGGATCTCAGAAGAAAAAAACAAAGCCATTGACAAGTTACAGATTTCCAGGAAGAAGGAAAAACAAAAAGGAGGCTAGAAAAAGAAGACTTCCCACCACCCTTAAGTTCCCCCATGTCCTTTAGAAGGGACTCCTGAGCTCTGTGGAAGAGGAGGGAGGGATTAGCAAACACTGGTCAAGGTTACGGAAACCTAACCTGCCACCCTCACCTCACCATTAAGCTGGAGATTCTGAAAAATGCTTTTTTCTCAGACTTCCTGGCACATTTTAAATTAACATTAGAATCCAACCTGGTAAACTGGTAGCCATTGAGAACATTTTTCTTTTCTTCTTGAGAATAAAGAGTTTCAGGGGGCAATGACAGTTTTTCCAGCTGGCCATTTCAAATGAGCAGCCCAGAATTCATTTCATTTGCCTGGAATCCCTTGATGCTGTGTGGTGAAGCCATGCCATCAAATTTCCATAGTTCCTACCCCAGACAGAGTGAAAGAGAAGGGGTGGGGGGTGGGGGTGCTGAGGGCTTTGAAGAAAAATATGGAGAAAAATATTGCCCTTTCTATGAGGAAGGCAAGATTTATGTGCTGTGAAAAGGGTGCCTGGGCAGTTATCTGAACTGCCAAATCTTAAATCAAATAGTATATATTTCTTAGCCTTCCAGAGAGCAGAGTCTAATGGTGACAGGCTAGTCACACAGGCCTCGGCTGCATGTTAGGGCTCTGCTCTCTGAGCTCGCATTCCAACTGCGGAATGAATGCTTCAGGAGATGCACACTCACTCATGCTGGTGTCATTCTCCTCCGAGGACAGATTTCTATGATAAAAAAGAAAACCTTGAAAATAGCAAAATCACAGATGACAATAACAATAATGACAAAAGCACTGAGCCTTCGAACATGTACACCAGCCCCTAAAGTATAGCCCCTGCCTACATTCCTTAATTACTGTCATTACTGCTCTGCCTTATCTTATCTCTGCTCATGGGTTACTCTTGGTCATGGTTCTCATGGAAGGGCATCCTTTAATAACGCAACACATAATTCTAAACATGTTCAATCAGCTACAGTTGAGATTCTACCCATTTTATGTCATTAAAACCTTGTTATTTTTGTGTTCAGCCTGAGTCTCTAAGAATTCTATACATTCATTTGCAAAGTTGAGTGAAACCCTAGGTTGACTAACCAGTGATGGAGGCAATTTGGGACCTGACCCGTGCATGTGAAATAGGGGTTGAGTTAATAATAGGATGATTGCTTCATGTGATGATCTTCCTTTCTCCCTAAAGCTGTAACGAGGGTCCATGTTTACAATAGCATCAGCTGCTGGAAATTATAGTCTTGACTGGAAAATAAGGCTGAATTTCTACTGATGAGTCCAAGAGGAGAGAGTCATGAGATATTGTTTTAGAAAGCAAGAGGAAAAGGGAATTGCAAAATAAATGATCAGTTATGGTTGAAGATAACATACATTAGTAAGAGTGTAAAAACCCTGTTTTAACTGGAAAAATGATCTCAATGGTTTCATGAGAAATTAGTAGGGCTACGGGGACCAAATTTTCATTTAAGTTTTCAGTTTATTACCACAAATCCCCAGTCTCTGGGCATGAAGTCATCCATTTTGAAACTCTGTGCAGTCCCTTGGTAGGGTGAGATGCTTTGTCATCATAAAATGCCCAGTAAAGTGGAATGTGGTCATGTCAGTGATTGTAAGGTTAATATTCCCAAGGACCATCCAGGAACCGCTGTGCAGCCATTTGTTTTAAACACAGGAAGGGATATTTTTGGCTGATGCCTAACAGAAATGAATCATTCCAATGTCAGCGTTCTTTATAAAGGTTTTAAGGATGAAATGCTAAATCAGAAAGGAAGCATCTGTAATCTATGTTCCTTAACAAAATAATTTCTCTTTATTTATCTGTTTAGATCATTCTTCTTGGAAAAGATTGAGGTAATTTGTATTTTTTTAAATTATTTTTATCTCGCCTTCAAAAACCTAAAACTTTTGATGTTGTAGTTTTAGATGTAAAGCATCTTTTGAAGAAAAACATGAACATTTCGAACTCTTATATCTTAACTTTTGTAAAATTCAAAGTTATTAAGCCTGAAAATACCCATTAGGCACAAAATGGTGTCACTGTATATCCTCCTGAGCAGTAGAGGGGTCACAGCCACCATAATTCAAATCCTGTTGAATAGCTCTAATTTTAGAGGCAGTGGCAGCCAGAAAAATGGAGAAGCTGCCATATTTCTAGTTAATGACCTCTGTTTCCACTTCCTTCTTCTGGGCACCTCCTGGCCAAATCCTTCCCTCCTTGGCCCCCTCATCCTGGTTAAATTCTCTCCTTCCAAGCTGAACAATGCATGGAAAAAAAATTCTCTCTTCTCTGCCTATCTCTCTTGTTTTGCCCAAAATGATATACATAAAAGTCATTAGACATTCTTAAGTCCCCTCAAAACTAGTCCCCATTCTCAAAGATTCAGATTATTACATGACAGAAGAGTTACTATTTAACTATTATTGAATTGTTTTCTTTTTGCCATGAATATAGCCATAATCTCCTGTAGTACTTTTGTGGCAGAAGAGGCTGAAAATTTCACAGATTCATTCTCTTATGCCACAGTCATGTCCAGGGAGCCCCAAGGTCACAGTTCAAAAACTGTGACATAAACTGTGTCATAGACTTAATCTATGTACATCCAACAGAAATCCCTCTCTCACTTGACAATGATGGCTATACACTCTTTCCTCCCATTCATGTTCCTTGGCTTAAAATATCAGGGGTGACTTGTGCATTACACTTACCAGCTCTGTGAGGCAAAAACCCAGGTAAAGACATATTTGGGGCTTGAATTATCTGGGATTATTGCCTTCATCTTCTACATTGCCAAATAGAAACAGCAGACTGGTTGGTAATTCTGCTGACTGAATGACATGTGTTTTCATACATGCCATCTTCATTGTGCATTACAATCAACGAAGGATCTTGAAAATGCAAAGAGAAAAAATATGGTGCAGAGAATAAACTTTGGTTTAAGGGTCCAAAAATAGGCTTTCCTTAAAAAACATTACGTACAATACATAGAAATGTTGACTAAATTCCATCTTTCTAAAATCAATGACTATTTTATAAATATTCATTTAAGAAAGAGCTCGATAAAATTTGCCAAGTTAAACAAAAAAGTTATATTTATAATGCTTCTAGAAGGAAACGATCTCCAAGATTTCTTACATGAACAATTTTGAATAGTATCTTACCAAAGGGTGAAGTGCCACCATTTTTTCCTAAACGAAATATAATCATATATCCCAGGAGGGAGAGAAAAGGACTGTGTTAGCATTTGCTCATGTTGGTTCAATCAGCAGTTACTGGGATGAGGAGGACAGAAAAACAATCAAAAATATCTGTTCGCTGAAAGCAAACAGTAAACACAGAAATAAATTTGTTAATGGAATGTAGGCTAATTATTATGTAAACTTCCTTGTAAATTCTGTACATAGTTCATTGAACTGTTCCCTGTCGCGTGGTGGTCCTCGCACCCAGCTTTGGGTGGATGTTTGAAAAATTTGAGCATTGTAAATAATGTAAGCTTATAAGGCATTTGCTTTTATTCATGAAGTGAAATGACTAGTGATTTGGGCCCAAACCAGAATCTTTTTAGCTCTTGCTCTTTCTCTGCCATTTTGTGTGTGCAGTTGTGTAACTCTGCTGCAAGCCATAGCCAGGTGTCTGTGATCACTGCCTCATGCCCCTACCCCACTGAGAGGGACAGCAGTTGCTAAGAAGGCTGCAAGCCCATGGGGCTCGGGGACAGCACACCAGCAGAAACGAAACCGTAGCAAGCTGCTCCTTCAACTGTTATGACAACTAGAAGTGTTTTTATCAGTCATTCGCGGCTATTCATATATTCGGATACTGAATTATCCATGCCTTTGGGGGGGTCAGGAATGGAAGAGATGCTCAAAATCCACAGATAATCCAAATCTTCATTTGCACCAATAGCTTTACCTTCTACCTTCTTCTCTTCCACAATGTTTCCCAGAACTTCCAGTAAGAATAGAAATGAATGAATGGGTTTGATAAGGGTAAACAGTCAAATGTCCAAATGATGGGAAGAAGCCAAGGAAGAGATAAATAGCCTTGATACCACCAACTGGCTGATTCATTCCAAAAGATCCAGAGGTAACCATGTCGTTATTTTTTTAAAGGTAAAGAGAAGTATTGGTATAAACTGACTGGGAATTAAAACAATATTTTTTAACTCGGGGTAAGAATATGTGGGATATGTGCAAGTTTAAAAGAGAGTCTGGTAATGAAATGTCTTCAAATATATTTCCCCTAAGTATTGGTATTCCTGAAAAAGTCTTCAGAATGGTGGGATATTATGCCATAAGATGTGGTTCCATGCAAACTGGCAGTCCCAGAGAGGGGGATGGTGTCTACAGAATTTTAGAATATCCAAGCAACAGGGACATAGGTTGGTTTTTCAGTAATGACTTTTTGGAGGTAAGCACTTAGCAAGGTAGGACTTTCTGTTCCAGCATTTTAAGTGCCAGGAGAGGTCAGGGAGCCATTATTATGAGATATTTTCATTCTAAAATGTCTCAACAAGGGTCCACCATCAACTGGATGAAAAAAAAAATGCCTTGTTTGAACTAACTAGATCAATTTCTAGGTCCACATTCTTACTCTTACTTTAATCATATTTTTTAAAAATAACTGAAATCAACTAAACTGATAGAAAACTTCATTATTGAAGGCTACAATTTCACAAGCAAGCATTTGAAAAAAAAATCTTTTTAAATAAAAGAATTGCAAACCAGAAAATTCCATGTTCCTGGAAGGAT